CAGTTATTTGTAGGTTATGTAGCCATTATATCAAGTAATCACATATTACAATGGAGGGTTTCCTACATCTGGCAAAATTTTGCTGTTGAGGTTTTGGCGTATAAAATATAAACACTTTCTGGCCCACGGACTTGTTGAGATTTTTTAACATGCCCCTTTTAGTGGTTGAGTTTGAGTTTGAGACCTCTGGCCTAAAGCAAAAGTTGTTCATAGTGGAGAGGTATCTGCAGTTTGTTTTTCACATTTACCACTATTTTACCATTATCCACATTACATATAAAAACTCAAAAGACACTTTTAGATTTGTGGGTCATTTTGGTCAGTAAATAAAATGGATTTATTTGCATTATAGACATGGTGACCCCTAGTTAGTCGTCAAGTTTTTCTACAATGCAGCATTTCACAACAAAACTAAGTCTAAAAGCCCAATTACCACCACTGTGAGCAATTCTGACTCAGTAAGTTTCTCTAAACCAGAGCATTTCACACCAAATCTGAATAACTTTGTTTACATCTCAAACATTGAATTTTGCAACATTTGAATGCTGCAAAATCAGTGGAATTGATTCTAAACTTTCAATCAATACCACATCTGTTTCTGTAAGTTGAAGAGGAGATATTTTATTATAACTTCAATTTGATTACAGTTACTGTGCTCACAATCTTGTTTTTGCGGAAAAATAAAATTACATTATTGTCAAAACAAGCTAATAAAGTCAGAAGAGACTTAAACCTGTTGAATCTTCTGGTCAAATGACAGAACATACTTTGAATGCAAATGTATTTCATTGCTAAACTCACTATGTATGTGAATAATACAGCAAAATGAATGTAATATCTCTTGACTTCTAAAGGTAACATCTAAAACTGCACTCATCAAGTAGTTACTAATCTTAACAATTATTATCCAGTAACCGCTATGAACGATTTGGTAAGTACTAAGAAATGCATAAGTTATATAGCTATAACTAAAGTGTGTGGACCCACATACAGGCCCATGGGATTTAAAGGGTTAACCATTTCATCAAACAGTTGAAGGAGTGTATTGTATTTGTATTGTATTTGTACTGTATGTATAAAGTTAGTTATTGTTAGTTAAAAAAGCAAAGATAATCAGTCCTTATCTGGCTGGTAAGTGTGTTGTGTGTTCTTTTAAGTTGAGGTTATCAGCTGATCAGAGCTGCAGTGTGAATGCAAAGTGAATGAGTCAGCAGTCTAATTCTGTCTGCCCCATAGGGCACATTTGCATGGAGAGACGTGAATGACACACAGACTCTCCTCCACACAGTACAACAAACACTTCATTCATGGCAGATTTCAGTCAAACTAGTTAAATACTCAAAAACTCATCTGCATTGTAATGCTGATATGCAATATAGGGGAACTTTAAGAGAACTTTTGCAGCAGACTTAATTGACTGAACACTAGAGAGGCCAAGAGCACTTTTAATTTTTGAGCTATGATCATTCTGACAAAATAAAAGCCCCATTTTATTAAACTGGTTCATATTTTAGTCTGACGTTGTTAGATATTACAAAGCACAGCAAAGTTCTGAGTATTTCTGCCTCATAAAGTCATCATCATTGATTCTTTTGACCATCAGACTGCATTTTGTCTCTGTGAGCCACCGCCGGATGATATTTTGGCAGTGGTTATACGGTAGCATATTCACCATATCTGAGTATCTCTACTTCAAAAGGCCACAGAGGTCATTTTGACTGTGTTCATTAGATGCTCCGTCTGTGTGGGCTCTTTTTGCTACTATTCCAGCTAGTTGGTGGCATTTCAGCAGCGGTTATTCAGCAACCTACTTGCCTCATCTCATCTTCCCTCACATAATATCTGTAATAAACTGGCAAACAGTTCACAAAGTGCAGTCCTAAAGTGAATAAAACATTGGCTATATAAAAGCAGAGGCATAAAAATCCAACAAATATGCTATGAAGTTTTGGTTGGCAGCAAGTACATGATAAATTCATCGCTGTATCTTTACAAAGACAAGGCGTAAATTCTGTATTAATGCATTAAAGTGTTTAAAAAAATTGTTCTTTCTGCTGAATAATCTTATGATGCTTGGCAACCAATTTCCTACTGTTAACACCCTACATTGCTTGGTAAAACTGTCCATTAAAGTTACTCGTAATTATGTCACTTGATTAAATTTTGATATTTTGCCTGTTATCTCAATAAATGGATAAAGTAAACAGGGGAAATGAGGCCATGGGTCACCTAAAGCACCAAATCAGACAGCAATACCAACCAGAAAAGATGTTCTCACAATATGTGGAACACACTGCATTGACCTGGGATCTTATTTGTTCTGTTGCATTTATAAGAAAAGGTAGGGGAAGCTGATTACATCGGTGCCCTGATTTTACCATGTTGTATGGAGTCTTGGTTTATATACTGATCTCATAAAAAAATCAAGGTGCACTAGAAGACAGGGTCTTTTAATTTTATAATGATTTTAATGATTGCCAGCTTAGCACAGCCTTTCTATGAACTACTGTACAACCCCATTTCCAAAAGTTGGGATGCTGTACAAATGTAAATAAAAACAAAATGCAATGATGTGCAGATCATTTAAAGCCTATATTTCATTGAAAATAGTACAAAGACAACATATCAAATGTGGAAATTGAGAATTTTTTTGTTTTTTGTAAAATATAGGCCTATTTTGAATTTGATGCCAACAACACGTTACAAAAAAGGTGGGACAAGGGCATGTTTACGACTGTGTTTCATCACCTCTTCTTTTACCAACACTCTATAAGCATTTGGAAACTGAGGAGACCAATTGCTGTAGTTTTGAAAGTGAAATGTTTTCCCATTTTTGTTTGATGTAAGATTTTGGCTGCTCAATATTTCGGGGTCTCCTTCGTTATATTTTTCATTTCATAATGTGCCAAGTTTTCTCAATGGATGACAGATCTGGACTGGCCAGTCTAGCACCAGAACTTTTTTAATACAGAGCAGTGCTGTTGTAATATATGCAAAATGCGGTTTGACATTGTCTTGCTGAAATAATCAAGGCCTTCCCTGAAAAAGACGTCGTCTGGATGGCAGCATATGTTGCCAAAACACATATAGATCGTTCAGCATTAATGGTGCCTTGACAGATGTGCACATCACCCATGCCATGTGCACTAATGCACCCCTATACCATCATGAATACTGACTTTTGAACTGTGCACTGATAAACAAATCATCAAATGTTGATTTGTTGGACCACAGGACACTTTTCCACTTCCTCTCAGTCCATTTTAAATGAGCTCAGGCCCAGAGAAGGTGGTAGCATTCCTGGATCCTGTTTATATACGGTTTCTTCTTTGCATTTTAGAATTTTATCTTGCATTTGTGGATGCAGCAATGAACTGTTTTCACAGACAGTGGTTTTCAGAAGTGTTTCTGAGCCAATTCAGTGATTTCCACTACAGAATCATGTCTGTGTTTAATGCAGTGCTGCCTGAGGGCCCAAAGATCAGGGCCAGCAAATACTGTTTTTTTGACTTGTCCCTTTCAAACAGAGATTTCTCCAGATTCTCTACATCTTTTAATGATATTATGTACTGTAGATGATGAAAAGCAAACATTCTTTGCTATTTTATGTTGAGAAATGTTACTCTTGAATTGTTGCACTATTTTAGTGTGCAGTCTTTCACAGAGTGGTGAACCCCTCCTCATCTTTACTTCTGAAAGACTCTCTGAGATGCTCTTGTTCTACCCAGTGATGTTACTGATCCGTTGCCAATTAACCACCCGTTGTTTTTTTTTTAGCATTACAAAACTTTACCAGCCTTTTGTTGCCCCCGTCCCAACTTTTTTGAAACATGTTTTTGGCATCAAATTCAAAATGGGCATATATTTTTCAAAAAACAATAAAATTATAAAATTGGATATGTTGTTTTTGTACTATTTTTAATAAAATATAGGGTTTAAATGATTTGTATATCATTGCATTTTGTTTTCATTTACATTTTGCACAGCGTCCAACTTTTGGAAATGGGGTTGTACAGTAGTTCATAGTAAGGCTGTGCTAAGCTGGCAATCATTAAAATCATTATAAAATTAAAAGACCCTGTCTTCTAGTGCATCTTGATTGTAGATGCTAAGACTGTTTTGTTCAATGCACAGATAATGGAATACATACACATTTAGCCCACTTTTATTGTTGCCTGTTCAGCCCACTGAGCATGTGTGCTCAAGTTTATTATGTTATGAATTTTTTATTTTTCTTTTAATATTCTTATTAAAATATTTTTGTCCCATGAGATGTTTTGAATAAATATAGCTTATGTTAGATAAGAGCTATGAGTGCTATTTACTCTTTTAAAAATGCAGTTTGCATGATCACACAATCCAATGAAACTTGCTGGCTGCCAGCTCTTCACTTGAAACGCCCACCAGTGTCCAACAGAAGGCTGCCTGAGTGACCCTGAGAGGTTTTAATTGCTGGAGGTGTGTAAACAGAGTAAGTCCAGTGTGATATACAGTTGTGTGCAAAAGTTTAGGCACTCCTGGTCAAATGACATTTTGTTCATTTTCTAAGTGCAAATAAGTTAACACTCAACAGAGAACACAATTCTGCATGTTAATGCACAGTTACTGTTTATTTACTGAATTATATTGTAAAAAAGCATAAAATGTGGGCGGTGCAAAAGTTATGGCACATTTCACATTTCATGTTTTATTTTTTTCAAATATGTTAAGCTCAGTAAATAAATACAAAACTGTGCACCATTTAAGTTTATTCTCTGTAAGGGATGTGTTAAAATCAACAAAACATCCTTTGTTCAAACTTTGCATACAAGTGTACGCAAATTCTACACTATGTGGTTGGAGGTACAAACTCTATGGGCAGTTTCATACTTTCACTTGGTTATGAAATCTAATCTTGATATGTTCGTAAGCCACAAAAGCAGTAACTTTCAAAAAAGATGGCCACAACAGCAGTTTCACCGTGGCTCCGTTACCATGGTGACACAGCCATGCTGACCTACCTCGCGCAGCAGGGGGTCAGCGGTGAGGCTGTCGAGGTTGACGGAGCCCTCGTAGGTCAGGTGGTGAAAGACGTTGAGGGCACGCACGGCCTCGGGCCCGCGCTGCTTGTAGCCGAAAATAAGGTCAATCCACTGGTGCAGCTGACACGACACAAACTCACTCTCCAGAGCCTGCCAGAGGGAGAGCCGGGCAATTAGAGGTGAAAGGCATGTAAACAGCAGCAACATGCAAACTCATCCACATACACAGAGACAAACACGCACATGCATGTACAGTAGTGTGAAAAGGTCTGAGGCAGCCAAGAAAACTGTTTAAAATTACCTATCTATGCAGTAAGGTATATATAATGTTATATAATGTTATTTATAGTGTTATATAGTGCTGTAACATTGGAATAAATACACATAAACATAAATACAGAAATATATTTATATTGCTTCATGCTCCAAAAGGGGACTTTAAAGACGTGGTATGTAAAGCTGTGCCACGTTTGAATAGACCATCATGTACGGACAAAGCCTACAATTCATATACTCACACTTTACAAAAACGCCATGAATGATTTCAAATAAAGCTGTTTCATTCAGAATTACATGCAGAGCACCGTGTAGTGAGCAAAGAGAAACTGAGCAGCGCTGCTAACACTGTTCACTGAAGCTAAAAGCCAGGCGGTGATGTACACAGTGGGACAGTGCAGTCCGTCTACAGCCTGTTTTACAAAACAAACCACCGTATTAACGTTTATACCTCACTATGATATTCAAACAGATTAATGTCGGCCTAGATGAGCACTCTCCTTCATTCGGCTTACGTCAAAGGGTATCAGTGGGTATCAGAACATTGGTATCAGTGGTTTTTTATGAGTATGTGTAAATGAGCACTGTATCGGCCTAATACTCGATACCAGTATCGATGCATCCCTAATTTTGGCCAGGCATCAGCGAACCAATTGGTTACATTCAACCAATCATAAAGAGGCTGACATCAAGAAAGGTTTATTACTACCATATCTAGATAACCATCTTCATTTCTTCTATTTTCATGGTTGCAAAAGTGAGAGTATCAGAGCGCTTACTTCTCTGCAACATTGGTGAAGACTTTGGAAAATAAACTGGGTTTGAACACAGCCTGATGTTCTTCAGACATGTTTGGTAGCACAGTTTGCTATCTGAGGCTGAATCCAGTGAAGTGCAGGGTCAAAACATAAATAATCTCTGACCCTGTCATGAATAGGTTTATAGAAACATGGTTTTAGCATAACATTAATGGTGGTTTTAGTCAATGGCCTAATTGCATTTCGTCACTCAGCCAGCCATGTTTTTAAAGTTTTGCCCCCCCAATTGTGCAGGTGTTGTGACAGCCCTGTGTTAGAATAACTAGTTGAACCAGTGAAACTGTTGAATTACAGCAGTATTTCTAATGACTGTAATTATATGGACTTTTACTTTCATTACTTTTACTGTTAATTTACAGGCTTTGTCTGACACCCCTGCTGCCAAACTTTTTACTGTTTTTTTATATAGATTTTTATAGATGGTATTGGATGGTGACAATACTGGGCTTATGCTGAATACTGACTCCCCGTGCACGTTACACAGGCATATGAATGGTAGATTACATTCAATATGGATGGTGATTACATGAATATCAGCATACCATTTGAGCAGGGGTGCCAACTACTGCCTTTGTGTCATGTGTGCACGTGAAGGTTATGGGAATTCAACAACATAACCTTAAAGTACAGCTGGATGTGGTTTGAGTGGGTTGAGAGAAGTTTTGGGGATATGTTTACAGAAAAGCTTTGGGTGACTACTGACTTCTAGTGTTTCTTTGCCTCATAGCTCCAGTACTACACTAAAGAAGCACAATGTGGACAAAACATGTCTTGGCTGATCAATTACTTCTGGTCTAAGTGACATTATCTGCCAAATGATCTTTTGAATTAATGAAAAATAAGACACTTCCTAGTGCTGTGCATGTATCATCCCGCAAACCCCTGTGGCTATTCTTAATAAAGTGTAAATAATGTACAATCAGCTTCCAGGCAATACTTATGTAAAGAGTATGTAAACTATATGTAAATATGTCTGTATTCTATAGGTACCAAATCTACTTATTTGAATCTGGCACCAGAATGAGCAACCGGTTCCAACACCAACATTAAAACCATTATTGATCTGAATCATTTCCTCAATTTGCAAACTCAGATATCCAGCTAGTTTTGCATAATGGTTTGCTATGACATGCAATACTAATGTAGAACCAATTTACAGGCCTCCTATCATCATAAAGCAATGCCAAATGTACCAAATGGATTTTTTACAGGCACCCAGGGGCTCTACAATGGCAACTAGAGTGGGATAATTATAGAAAGTCATACTGTGGGCGTCATATTGTTGGTATGAATCCTTTTGTGAACAAAGAATACAAACACAAACACCTACACAGTCATGGTCACATGAACACATGTACACACACACACACACACACACACTCGTCCCCACTGCTGCTGGAATTTACACCCTCCCTCTCGCATCAGGACTAACAGCTATTACCAACAGAGCAGGCTGTGCTCCAGAGGGGGCTGCGCTAGCCACGGGGCATGTCACTCCAATCGAAAGTGACACATGCAAAGATGGGAACGCTAAGCGAAAGAGAGCGAGGAAGGGATGGAGGGGGGCAAGAGAGAGAGAGAGAGCGAGAGAGAGAGAGCACAAAGACAAGGGGGAAAAGCAGGGATTAAACGACAGAGACAGAGGCATACAATAAAAGAGCGGCAGGAAAAGCAGGAGGACGAAACAAAGGAAGCAAATATGGAGGAGCATAATGCAGCGTGTTAATCACGGCCATCTTAGTGCTACATGTAGAGAGCTGAATTTTCTTGATACACATCTGTACATTGTTTTCACACAAATAAAATACATTACATCAACACAATATTGTCTCTCTGTTTGCTTACTTTTGGTAATAATTGTGTAATATATTGTAATAAATGCAATATGTTTTGTTTGTTTGGAAATGATGTATACATTTGAATCAGGTAAAGTCAATGCATCACTTTTTTTCCCAGTGTAAACCACATTCTGAATATGAAACTATTAAATGTTTAGTAACAAAACTGCAGATCCAGTAAATGACAGAGGCACCTAAAAGGACAACAAAGAAGAATAGGAAAGCCTAGGTTTGCTGGATCACCATGAGCTATACTGTCATGTCACACAAGTGCTTATGAAATAAAATATAGGATAGGATACAGTACAGGACAGATTTGGATGTGTCAATTTCTATCTTTAGAATTATCACAAATGTAATGCTAGCTAGCTTGAGTTCAGCATCACATCATTTCAAGTAATAATAATAATAATAATAATAATAATAATAACAATAATAATAATAATGTTCAATAAATGTTCAAGTAAGTCATATGACCTCATTTAAACAGGGCAATTAAACAGGACTCTTATTATGATAGCATTTGAGGTGCTATACCATGCAATTATCATTGAGTCAGAACCAGGTTAAATTCCCTGATCTAGTGCTGGCAAAGAATTCCATGTACTCTGTGTCTATGTTATGTCATGAATGAATTCATGAAGGCAGACTTAGCGAGGCCTAAATTATAATAAGAGGCTGTTATTAGCATAGTAACATATCTATCAGACTCCATGATGATTTCTACTCACACACACACTCACACAAATGTTTGCAGTTACTCAGAATCATGTGTGGACTCAAGCAAAATGTACAGTGTGAAAACTGGAGCAAAAAGGCTTATTTTCTAATAGCACTTGCATTATAGCTATAGAGATAGCTTAAATTAAATTATCTAACTCTTTGAATTGATAATTCACACAAATCATCAAATTCTCAAAGTGGATCACTGGTGATACTCTCAGACTGATAAAGTTAAATGTATAAGGTTAAAAGTTTATTATATAGGGTTGATAGCTTGTTGAAAAAGCAATGAAATTGTGTTGAAAGTGCTGAACACATTTGTGATTCTAATACATTTTTTGACCTGAATTTCATTAAAAGTTACTGTTCCATCTATATTAATTTGTTTGCCATTTTATTTTTGCCATTAGTACAGAATTCAGTTTGAAAGTAGGGGTAATTATTATGTAACTACTATGTAATAAATGTCATTACATAATTACATTTGACAAGTTGAGCAAAAATAATGTAATAACTGTTAGGCACTAAATCAATTCTAGTCAATAATTGTTGAAAAAGTTTTCCTCAAAGAACCTGTTCAGTGCTGGTTTGGCTGCATTAGCCCTGGTATAGCCCATAGTAGGATTGACCTGATATTTCATCATGTCCTGAGGCGGTCAGCCTATAGGAAGTTTTGACTTTAAATGACAGCTGGACCACTGCCCACACATGTATACTGTGTGTCTGTCTGTCTGTGCGTGTCTATGTGGATGAACAAAGCGGCAGAAAGGGGCTGGAGGAAAGGTCACCTCCACAAGACACATACAGTCTATGACACACACACACACTGTCAGGGCAGCTGAAAAGGTCAAATGTGTTTCCCACAGCACACACACACTCTCCTCAGGCAGCACAGGCCAAAACACTGCAATCCCAGTCAGCGAACTGCACACTGGCTTTGTTTATTTCTTTGCTCATAACTAACCAAGGATATAAACAAACAAAGCCATCAGTGACTCCTGTTTAAGGACATTAAGGCTGTATATGTGTGTGAAAACCTGCATACATATTAATAGTGTAAAGTTAATGAGTTAATAACATGATAAATTATCCAATGCATTCATTTTTTAACACCATAAATGTGCACTGTTGCTATGATTATTATCCTCTCATTGCAATACAGCTTTTAAATGGTAAGAAGTTCCACTGATGGCTCTTTTGATAAAAGTTTTTCCAGCTACTGCCATCGTGAATTTGTACATTTGTTTGAAGTACGTTGACTCCGAATCATCACTTATAAGCAAAACACGCCACTGATGCCGTCAATATCAGATCAGTAGTATCAGTAACGTTAGCATGGTGCGATGCATTGGGCAGACTACACTGGACAGTGCTGTAATAGCTAGACCTGCTGGAGCTGGATACTGCTAATACCCCTTTTGAGTCTTGGTTCCTCTTTCTTCCTCTTGCTTTTAGGGAGTTAGTCATGCCACTGTCTCCACAGGCTTGCTTATGGAGGCTTGGACCTGGATTTTTCTGTAAAGCTGCTTTGTGACAACAGCTGTTGTAAAAAGTGCTATATAAATAAACTATGACTTGACTTGATTTGATTCTTGGGAGACCTATATATAAATCGAAGAATGGGCAGCAAACTAACAAAACTGCAAAGTGCAAACTTCCTGTTCCCATTGAAACAAGAGGCAATGTAGCGTTATGAGAGTAAGCGGAATCATAGAGGAGTTGAAACATGCAGCTGCTGTTGCTTTTACTGGATGACGGTGATGAAGACAGGAAATGTTCATCTTATTTTCAGGTTCACCAATTCATGTGATTTTTGGTGTGCAGTCAGAGACAATAGTTCAGTTTCTCAATGTAGAATATATGTTAGTCTTTTAGCTTTTGCTAGTGTGTGACCACAGAATGACTGTAAAAACCTGAGCAACACAGCCTGATATAATATAATATAATATGATATAATACAATATAATATCTGGTCAGTGGTGGTCCTATGGTGATCTCTCTGAACTGATGGACGGGATAGATTGGGTTAGACTGTACAACAGGCTCTAGTCAGTAATTGCATACCTACAAAGTGCATCTGGTAGGTGCTTCTGATAAAATGGCCAAACGGGAAACTCAATGTATAGGTGTATATTTGTTTACATAGAGCGTTAGCATTAGAAGCGCACATTAGCCATTCCTGGTCTTGCTT